TCCAAATTACTGAAAAGCAATGATGCCAGTTTGAAGACTAAGGTGTGTCTGATTCAGGCCATGGTCTTTTCAATCATTTGCTGTGTATGTGAAAGCCAGACAATGAATAAGGATGACAGGAGAAGAATTGACGTTTTCGAGTTGCAGAGTTGGAAAAGAGTACTAAATATAGCATGGACAGCCAAAAGAACAAACAGATACTGCCTGGTGAAAGCACAGCCAGAGAGCTCCTTGGAAACAAAGCATCATCTCACAAACTTTGGACATGTTTTTGGGTGAGGCTATTCCTTGGAAAAGGACATCATGTTTGGAAAAGTAGAGTGTTGGCAAAAGAGAGGAAGACCCTTAACAAGATGTCCTGACATTGACTTCAGCAGTGGGCTCAAGATGACCCAGGACAGGACAGGGTCCAGATCTGCTGTTCACAGGGTCACTATGCGTCACACCTGACTGGGCAGCACCTACAAGCAACAACAATTGTCGGCGTCTGTTAAGTCATCTCTGCTTTCTCATGACAGACCATCTTACAGAAAGTGAGCCAACATCTTCGGCTTTCCTTCCCACCTGCCCCGAGGCAGGGAAATCACAATCACACCTTGAAGATGGAATAATATCCAGGTCATGACACCAAGCAAAGGGCATCTGGCAGGCATAGAAAGCGCTTGGTAATGTCAGAACATGTTTTTATGTGTTGATTTAAAATCCTCCTGGTGCCCAACTAAAGGTTATGAAGTGTCAGAATCTATGAACCAGCAGGGAGGCCGCAGAGCCCTATACCTGAGAAGTGGTCCTGTGAGACACGGAAACGAGGGACTTGTGGGGAACCAGGGGCCCATGAGCTGCTGTGAGCAGGTGCTGTTGACACGGGGTGTTAGTGTCCCAGCTTCACTCAAAGAACACCTGCGTGCGGAAGAATTATGGGAAATGGGAATCCGTTATCGCCTACAACTGGACTGCAAATCCAAGGCCATTCTCTTTCCCAGACATTGACCCTGTCAGCCTGGTCCTACTGGAGGAAGCCATGCCTGGTGTCTTGCAAATACGACCATCAGGTTGGAGACTTAAGGGGTTAGTAACCACAGAGAATTAACTGAAATCCAAACAAAATGATCCCTCTCAGCGCCTGGAACATTAGGTGTTTCTTCCCTGGACCTGGGACTCAGGGGAGGAGCTGGCCAACTGGTGGCCCCTGGTGGATTTAGGAGACCACTTCTTCTCCAAGACGACTGACCATCACTGTACCTCCTCCAGCTCATCACTCACCACGCAGATCTGTGTCTGCTGCACGAGCCCTTTGGTGCTTGATGTCCACGGATGGCTGAAGTCACATAACAAAGTCGGTAATCTCCCTAAAGAGCGAGCAGAAGAGGAACCGGGGATCCCGTACCTCTGAGTCTGATGCCACACTTGTCCTCAGAGTAAATGCTCAGCCAGTTGGCTCCTGGAGGAGACGCCCATTCAGGGAATGCCACCTGTCCACCCACAGTGCAGGACCCATGACAGCAGAGATCACCTCTGCATTCACTCACCACACCGCGATCTCTGAGGGCTTAACAGGTCCACAGTGAGCTGGAAGGGTTCTTATCTAATCCCACCTAATCGCATTATGCCTGCTTCCTAGTGACATAAAACGTTCATTTAACTTCCCCAAAGATGAGAAAATTACTAAGTGGTAAGTCAGAGTTTGAACCAAAGTGTGTTTGACCCCATAACTAACCCTGAAAAAGTCAGCCCAACATACAAAGAACCAAAAGGCAGAAACTCCATCTTATATGGACCCACAATCAACACACTTGATACCAACAGTCAGGAGATCACAAGACATACTGCATTATGAAAGTCTGTGGTCAGGGACTTCTCCAAATTATGAAGGAGCAATGATGTCAGTTTGAAGACCAAAGTGTGCTTGATTCAGGCCACAGTCTTTTTGGTTAATTGCTATGCATCTGACAGCTGGACGATGAATACGGATGACAAAGAATTGATGCCTTTGAACTGTGGTGCTGGAGAAGAACACGGAACATCCTATGAACTGCCAAAAAAGCAAACAGATATGTCTTGAAGAAGGTGCAGCTAGAGTACTCCTTGGAGGCAAGGATGATAATACTTCATCTCGCATACTCTGGGTATATTGCTAGGACAGGCTATTCCCTGGAGCAAAGGAGAGGAAGACTTTGAACCAGGTGGACTTATTGCAAGGGGTTTGAGAGTCAGAGATTGTGAGGACTGCACAGGCTAGGACAGACTTCAGGTCTGTTATTCAAGGAGTCCTATCTCATACTCTACAGCACCTAACGACAAGGTAGCAAGACAGCAGGCAGGGAGTTCTGGGGGCTTAGTGCTAAGGAGTCCTGCTGCCAATGTGGTTCAAATCCACCAGCTGCTCCATGAGATAAAGATGGGCAGTCTCCTCCCATGCCGCAAACTGCCTCTGAGAGCCCACTGGAAGGTCAGCTGTGGCTCAGTTCCAACCCAACAGCACACAAGGCAGAATGCTGAATCAGAAGTCCAGGAGTATCTGAGGAGCCTGAGGTCAGAACAGAACTGTCAAAAGGAGAGTTGGAGTGAGAGAGGCTGGTGTCATGTTGATGGCCTAGCTACAGGGGACCAAGCAGATGACAGCAACTCGAAGATCAGACAGGAGCCTTTCAGAGCAGCAGGCGTTATGTCAGTGCAGGGGAGACAACTCAGGGAAAGAGGGCGAGAATAGTGGGGCAGCTCCACGAGCAGTCACTCACTGAACACTGGAGAAACGAAGAGGAGCGCACTTCTGCCGTGGACGTACTCAACGAAATACATGCATACATTATCTTTTGGTCACGGGTGAGTAAGGCTGGGCTGGGTTCAAGATCGTGGGGTCCAGGCTGACAAAGGTGGGCACCAGGAGACATGCCAGGTTTGGGAATTCAAACTCCTCTTGCTCAGAGGCAGCACAGTACTTTATGATGATAGAACGAGGTGATGGGAAAGAGGCATCAGCTTGGGAAATATTCTTGGATCTTAGTACAGGATAGTTACGCGTTATAAACTTAATAAATTGTAAATGAATGGCCATTTTTTAAGCTTCAGCAGACAACTTTTTTAAAAGAGAATTTTGGGTTGTGTTAGAATAAGGAATTTCTCCAGGAATCTTCAGAGACAAACATCAGTTGATTTGAAAGCAAATTGTGGGGGGAAAAGAAATAAAAGCAAACTGCAGAACACATCATTCCTGTGGTTTGAGAACAAATCTGTACGAATAGAACTATTTTCAAGTTAAGCCCTGGTGACGTATGACCGAGGTAAGATCCACCATGCGAGGCCAGGAGATGTGCTTTCCCAGAAGAGTAACAGCAACGTGCATTATTCACTCCACATGGAACTAAGCCCCTTCCACGGATCAGCTCACACCTTCTCCCCAGCAGTGAGGGCTGCGCACGGTGGTAGAAATCTCTCCTTTCATGCTGGAGAGACCAGGGTTTGTCTGTTCCATCAGGCGTGGTCACCATGAATCGCTGGGTCAGCCGCCGAACAACGTTCCTTCCCCACAAGCAACAACCCAACAGGAAACTGCTATTAATACCCCCATCACACAGGTGAGTACAGTGAGGTACACAAAGGTTAGGAAACTTCTCAAGGTCACCGAGTTCATCAGGGCCAGGATTCGAACCCAGGCTGTATGCTTTCAGAGCTACATTCTTGCCACTGTGCCCTACATGAGGAGATCTTGAGAAGACCCTCAATGAGAGGGATTAACACAGTGGCTGTAACTTGAGCTCAAACACAAGAACAATTGTGAGAATGGCAACACTGTGTTGTCTGTGGGACCACGGAACTGCAGCTGCCTGAGGCACCCAGCACAGCGAAGCGCCCGGCTCGTGCCGTGAATGCAGGTTCTGAAGTGCCGGGCCCCCACCTGCCTGACTCCCCCCTTCACACATCCGAGCGTCTCCGTGGTATTAAGAGCAAACATCCACACTAGCTTGCCCGCGTTACTCAGCAACACCCAACACGGTCAGTAAATCAGCACTTCTGTACGTGTATTCAACAGTGGGTCGCATTTGTGAAAACTGTTTAATTCTATAAAATGCTCTAATTTTAACAAAATGTATAGAATTTTGATTAACACGTTGCCGCACACTTTTAAATTGACGACCGTGCTTAGAAACACTTTTTTTTCCTCCTCTGATGTATTACCATCATTGTGGCAACGTGTTAAATTAGAACTGGGGTTGGCCTTTTGTCCAATCCAAAAAAAAGAAACCAACAAATTAAAATAACTTGAGAATTTATTCCAGTGAGGCGACAAGGAACATGTGAGTAATGGACAGGAAGTGACACGGACTGTGACTGGCGGGGCTGGAACCCAGCTCGAGGGTCTCACTACCACGTTGCTTCTCGGTCACCGCATGAGTGTGTGGACACTGGTGCCCCGTGGGATTCTGCATGTCCACATTCCTCGGCAAGAACTGTACACAACACCCGGGCTAAGGGGTCTGTGCACATGGCCTCCTGGGCCTCTAGGCCTTTCCAGATCAGACGTCTCCATCCTCAATGGAAGAGTGAGGACCAGAAGTGGGCAGGTAATCAGATAACGTCCCTGGCCGTGGGGCTGTCAAGCCAAGCTTGGCTCTCCCACAAGCCCATCCCATCACTCTATCTGCACCAGCTCACGACCTACAATGGGAACTAGGGGTCAGCATAGCATGGAGTTGAAGGTTACTGGAAGGTAGCTCGTGTCCCTGCCTGAGCCAGTCTCTGCCTGAGAGGGACCTGCGGCTTTTGCTCTCCGGGAACTCAGGCCACCGCAGGTGTGGCTTTCACCTTGGAAAAGGCCCCCCCGAGCTGGAGCAGTCCTGTCCCATCTCTCCACGGGAAGGTCAGGGTGGCCCTAGGGCTGCAGCCTGCGTGGGACTCCTGCGCTCCCCTGCCACCCAGAGGGGAGACGGCCCCTGAGCCAACTCCAGTCACCCCGATTCTGCTGCCCGGTGAGGGAGACCCTGGCCTTGGCCTCTGCAGTTTTATGGGGGGACGGAAGTCCTGGGTGCCGGCTTCAGGCACCTGGTCTCACAGCCAAGCAGCCTCACGAAGGCCTGCCTCAGCCTGACGTTGCCCAGGATGAGGATAAAGGAGTGGCCCGTGAGATACAGCATCGTGATGGTCTCCCCAGTCATCAGCACCACCTTGGTCTCCGGGAAGAAGTAACTGGATGACGCGATCAAAAATGCGAGGAAGTAGAAGAGGAAGAGGACGAAGAAGGAGAAGATGATCCTGATGGCCCTGCGGTGGGCCTCGGCGCTGGGGTCTCTGGAGCCGGCCCCGCGCTGCTGCATGTGCCGCGAGTGCCTGCCCAGCGAGAGAATGAGCAGGACGTAGGCGGCCAGCGCCACGAGCAGCGGGGGGAGGTACCACAGGGTCCCAACGACGTGCACCATCTTGTACAGGCTTCTCTTCCTCACATACTCCACCGTGTCCCCGGTGTCGTTGATGCCACTGTAGGCAGAGTGGACCTTGAACTCCCGGATCAGGGACACAGTGCTGCTGCAGGACAGGAGCAGCGCCCCCAGCAGCATGTACACGACCACCCGGGACACCCTCCACTTGAGCCAGAGGAAAGTGCGGTGGGAGAAACTGGCGATCTTCAGGCAGTAGAAGACCCCCAGGCAGGTGGCAAGCCAGACGTTGAGCTGGTTGGCAAAGGTCCAGACGAGATCGATCACCTTCATGACAGTCCCCGACTCGTGCTCCTTCGGAGAGAACGTCAGGAAAGCGCCATCCACCTGGAGCACCCCCAGCAGCACGATCCTGGAGAGGCCCAGGCTGGCGATGAGGAAGTCAGACACGGAGCCGCCCCTGCTCGCGAGCCAGCTCCTGCCCTTCACCCACCAGATGAAGCCATTCGCCAGCAGGCCCAGGAGGAACTGGGTGAAGCACAGGACCACAAAGAGCTGCTCGGTGAGCCTCAGCATGTCCAGCCCGGCCGCCCCGGCCCAGGTCCTCCCTGTGGAGCAGCCTCCCTGCTGACGGGGACACTGCTCTGTCACCGAGCTGTGTGTGGTCAGTCCATCACTGAGCGCAGCGGACCGAGTCCTCTCTGGCTCGTTCCAGGTGGGTCTCTGCTCTTCACAGATGGCACAGGTCATCACGTTCCATCTATGAGGGCAGAGCACTTTGCTAAAATGCAAATGGCGTGGTGTCCAGTGTCACACAGGGACCGGAGATGAATGACGGATGGACTGGACTCGGTTTCAGAGGCAGTGACGCCCAGACAGGGAAGGGAATGTGATCAGGAGACACCTTCATTCTGAGGAGTGAGAGGTCTGTCTCCCAGCGGGAAAGGTTCCTACACACACAGAAAAGAGGAACTCTCCGAATTCTAGCCAGAGACACTGCATAGGTGCACGGCGAGTTAATGCTGAGGGCCACTGGCCTTGGGTCCAGTACTCCCTCTGCTGTCAATTCAGACTTAACAGCAACCTATAAGAACTGCCCTGAAGTGTCCCCAGGCGACACCAGCCTTCTCCCAGGAGCAACTGGTGGGCTTGAACTACTGACCTTTTGGTTAGCAGCCAAATGCTTTTAGCTGCAGCGCCACCAGGGCTCCTCGCTGGCCCTGGATGCAAATGAAAAGGCATGCCTCTTAGAGCCTGCACGGACAAGAGGACTCCAAGGTCATTACTGAATCACATCATCAGGAATGTTCCCTTGGAGCTTCTAGGTAGGTTCCACCTGCCAAGCTTCCAGTTAGACGTCAAGTGCTGTCAAGGTAGGAAGGAGGGGGAAATGACACGGGCTCCATGGCTGACGCGGCTTCTCCTGTGAACAGCCACTTATGCAGTCACATGAAAGGCTCCACAGAACCACAGAATCTCCAAAGCCCAGGTGAAGGAGGAGGCAGAGAACAATCAGTTCCTGGCTAGTTCAAACCCTCCTATCATCCAGCAGGCGAGGTGGTGTCTGCGTAATGCAGGCTGTCATAAGTCTTCCTCCAATCCTGATGTCACATTCTTCATAAAACACAGAGTCTCAAATTTTAATACTAGCGAAATCACCCATGTGGACATTTCAAGATCTGAGCGATAAAATGTGCAAACACAACTGAATGTATTGAAAAATTGTGGTACATTCACACAACAGAATACTAGGCAGCACTCAGGAGCAACAATTTCAAAAAATATTACATAACTTGGGAAAGAGTGGAGAGTATTATGCTGAGTGAACTGCCTAAGACCATTATTGTAAAAATAGAAGGATAACTAGTAAAACATGATAGGGACCCAAGGGGAAAAGGGTGGGAGGGGAGGAGCGAGGATGGGTAGGAGCAAAACCACAGGGTTGTTCCGTTAGGTGGGTGGAAAGAAGGGAGGGAAAAATGGAAAGGATCCGGGTAAAAAGACAGGGATATGATCGGCAAGATCCAATGGTGATTCATTTTATAAAACATAATACACAGGAAAGATTGTATGAAACACAATATGAATTAAGAAGAGTATGAAACAATGTATACAAACTTTGTAAGGAAAGAAATGGGGAGAAAAGGTAAAAAAAAAAAATATAGACAAGCTTAATGTCTCAGAGGAAAAAATAAAAAGATCTGAGCTATATCCCTGGGCAAGTTATCGCCTATGTGGTTGACTATTCTTTTTTACCCTGGTGTTTACCTTAAAAACTCAAACTCAGAGCTGTCAAGTCAGAACCACCTCACAGGTGCACTGAGTTTCTGAGGCTGTAATTCACAAGTGAAGAGATGGCCCATCTTTCTCCTGTAGTTTCTGGTGGATTTGAAGTATCTCCCCTACTGTGCCCCAAATTCAGCTCAATGTCAGTTTGTGAGTTGTTTGTAGTTAGGTTTGTGCTATGGCAGTGGGGCTGAGAAGCTGCGCCAGAGACCTCTTGGCCCACAGAGCTGCAATCATCTCCTGGCCCTGGACGGAAAGTCTCTTTACCATGGGATAGCCTGCGATCTCTCTGGGCTGCTGCTTCTAGCTCACCAATAATGACTAGGGCCACCTCTGGACCTGACAGGATGGAGCCTGTCTGCATAGCAGGGATCTGGTAGCACCACCTACCTAACCATGGTTCTGGCCTGCCCGGGGCAGCATGCCAAATCACCACGTCTGCCCAGCAATGCAGATCCAGGCACAGGCGCACAGCACAGATAGGGATGTCAGCATCTGCGTTCCACGTTAACCTACAGAAACCTTGACACCTTCCTAGCCCTCTCCCAGCACTGTTACAAATAATTGCTTCTGGTGAGCTATCTATGCTGGTTTCTAACAGTTACGTTTACCACTCTGCCTTTTACCACTTAGAACAAACCCTTCCTGGTCATGCCAAAACTCACGGCCACTGGTCCACAGAACAGGCTGTGTATTTTATCAAACGACATCTATCATTTGATAAATACAGATTTCCACTCTAACTCTGTTCATGTTAACTGGACCATGCTGGTTCCCCTTTCAATCCGTGAATGAGGTACACCAGTTGCAGATTTGCCAGACGTGAAGCTCTGTGCAGCACAAACTCTGGTGACATAGTGATTAAAGCACTGATAACTTCACGGTCCAGGGCTCGGTGCATAAGGAGCTACTCTGCAAACCAAGATCACAGCACTCTGGTGGGTCAGATGCACCAGGGGGTCCCGGAGACAATCTCTTCCTGGGGTTTACAGCCCCAGGAACCCAAGAGGGGCTTAGCCGAGTTGATTCCAACTCAGAGTCAATGAGTTGATTCCAACTCAGAGTCAATGACTCAGCGGCTGTAAGATACCTCCCAATCTCTCTCCGCGTGTCATAATGGCCGTCCCCACCCAGGAGCACTTGCATCACACGGCTGTGTGGGGTCTGTCTGCACCTCCTCTCCTGGGTTTGCCACATGGTGGTTACAACACCACTTGAACTTCAAGATTCATCAGACCACACGCCAACACTGGCACCTGCCAGCAGGGAGCCCTTCCTGCCTGGTCCACTGCTCTTCTGGGCTCAGCCCATCTCGGGTGCTGGTTGGCTTTTTGGTTTTAATCTGTCAGGTTCATCTTTTTCTTACTTTAAGTCCAAAGAGAAACTCAATGTATGTGGGATCTGGTTATCGTGCATGAAGCAGTCCCTGAAACCCAGGGCTGCTGTCTGGACTGTCATGGAAATGGGAGGGCAGGACTTTTCCTTAACCTTAGAGCCCCTTAATCATCAGGGCTGGTGGATAAGGGCCTCCTGAGGGGCTAGGAGTCTTTGTGGCACACACCGTTAAGCCTTGGCCAGATAACGAAAAGGTCTGTGGGTCAAACCTCCCAGCCTCTCCAGAGAAGATGTGACAGTGTATGTCTGTAAAGAGAGGCTCTTGTTGCTGTTACTTGCTATCAAGTCCAACCCACAGCGACCCTATGAACAGACCTGAACCCCGTCCTATCATGTGCCTTCCTCATCATCTGTCACACTGAGTGCACTGGGGCAGTCACGGCACCAATCCATCTCACTGGGGGTCTCAATCCATCTCACTGGGGGTCTTCCCCTCTCTGGCTGATCTTCCACATTTCCAGGCCTGATGTCTCTTTCCAAGGGCGTGTTTGTCAGACGAGGCTTCCCCACCCTTGCCTCCAGAGAAGCACCCTGGCTGCACTTTCTCCAAGACCCATCTGTTTGTTCTTTCAGCAGTCCGTGGGATGTTCAGCACCCCTCTCCAAGCCCCAGTTCTAAGGAGTCGATTCTTCTCGTCACCCTTATTCTCTGCCCAGCTCTCAGATGTACAGTAAGTGACCAAAAAGACCACACAGACGCACAACCCTGGAAATCCTGCAGGCAGTTCTGCTCTTCTGCCAGGTCGCCGGGAGCTGGAACTGACTGAGTGGCAGTGGTTTGGTTTAACTGGGGAGACTAGAAGCATTTAGTGGAAACTGCGACACTTTAAGCTGCTATGGTTTTTGCGTACTTCTGTGTCCCAGCGTCCCCCTCACCTCACACATAGGAGGCAGGTTAGACCTGCAGGGCTCAGGCAGCAGTGGAGGGTCAGAGGGCAGACGAGCTGAGCACGCAGGTGAGCTCCCAGTAAGGGTGTCTCAGCCAGCAAGGCCCAGGCCTAACTGCCAAGCACAGGAAGTGATTAGCCAGCAGAGATGTGGCCACGGGACCACGGATCCAGGTCCAGGTGGGCGGTCACCAGAGGCGGCTAGCAGAGCCAAGCGGGAGGACCCAGGGTTACCGCAGACCATGGCGTTGACCCTGAGGACCACCTCAAGGTCCTGAGACACCATCAAGCTCACTTTGCAGACAAGAACAGAACACTGGGGGACGACGGTCAGGGACCCACAGGGCAAACCTTCCAGCAGTTTGCTCCTCCAGGTCTTTGCCCGAAGCTCCAGTCAATGGGGTCCGCTCACAGCTGCTGGAAGGAGGGTGCGTGATTGACGGAGGAGGTCCCCCACGGCGGCTGCGTGGAACCCCTGGCCTTATATACACACACCCCACACAGATGGTGGCCCTGCATGGTCAGCCGGGGACCAGGTCACTGCACTACAGGTAGAGACGCTGGACAGAAACCTGAGCCACTACATACACCTCCACTGAGAACACACAGTAAAGCACCTCGCTGACAACTCCTGATAACATGGCGTGACCGAAAGGTCAGTGGTTCGAATCTACCAGATGCCCCGCTGGAGAAAGGCAGGCAGTGTGCCCCACACGTCTGCCACCTCTGAAACCCAGGGCCAGGCTGCTGGGTCCGGACAAGATGGCAGTGGACTGAGCTGAGGAAAGAGCTCTGGGGCGCCGGAGGGTTAAGCACTGGGCTGGTAGCTGAAATGCTGGGAGTGGTTCTTCAGGAGAACGGGTAGTCTTCCCGTGCGGTGAGTCACAGTCCCCAGAGCCCAGAGGTTGGGGGAGGAATGTCGCTGAGTCAGATGCTGAGGAAGAAAGGCTGGGCTGCCTTAGGTCAGTGGAGGAAGTGGACGGGCACTCTGGAAACGGGCAGCCCCCTCCAGGGTCAGCTGTGTCGGCTCGGTCAGCAGTGGGGCGCCTGTGCAGGAAGGAGGCAGGTGCGGTGTGGAATCAAGGCTGCCGGGCACCAGCAGGCACGGTGCTGGATTCCTGGCTTCTGAGGCCTGGGCTCCTGGCAGTGTGGCCGCCTCCTGTACCCTGTGACACGCAGGCTTCACGTGGTCAGGACTCCCCACAGAACTCACGCTGGGACCACAGCACACGGCTGAGGGCAGGCTTGGGAGGGCCAACCAGACTTTAACAGACACACAGCAAATCTGAGGGCACTTTGCACTCTTTACTGGGTTTTGTTCTCTGAATTCCCCGAGTCTCTGCTGTGAGCGCAGAGGGCCCCACCAAGAGTTCTGGATGAGTGACCATCACCCTCGGGGGTGACCACCTGGCCCCAGCGCTGCCCCAGGACGTCACGGCTGGAAACCACAGCAGACCATGTACAGAGACGAGCTGGGTGCAGGAGGAAGGCTAGTCTCAAAGCTGGCGCATCGCACGCTAACCACCACCTCAGTGCCAGCCGCTTCCCAACACCACCTGAGCAAGCTCCACCAGCGTCCACACTGCAGCACGTCCATACTGTGCCACATCCACACTGCACCGCGTCCACACAGAAGCACGTCCACACTGCACCGCGTCCACACAGAAGCGCGTCCACACTGCACCACGCCCACACTACGCCGCGTCCACACAGAAGCAAGTCCACACTGCACCGCGTCCACACTGCGCCGCGTCCACACAGAAGCGCGTCCACACTGCAGCGCGTCCACACTGTGCCGCGTCCACACAGAAGCGCGTCCACACTGCAGCACGTCCACACTGCGCCGTGTCCACACTGCACCACACAGTTCCTGCCCTCGTGCCTGCAGAGGTCCCTGCTCACAGCTGGGAGTGGTCTGACAGCAGATGTGATCACCACCCCAAGGGCCGGCAGACCCTGTCCGGAGCTGTGCTGCCCAAGGCCGATCACTTCCTTGCTGGCCCAGCCAGCCCTGCGTCCCCATCACGAGGGACAAGCTCCGCCGACAGGCCGGACGGCGCCACCACAGGGGAGCGACAATCAGGCAAACGGCATCGCTCGTTTTCTACAAAAGGATACTTTAATTTCTGTCCTATAAAGACTATACATGATTTGGAAATGAGACTGTCCCATCAGGGCAACGAAGACACGTCCAGGCTAGACCTTCTCCTTGGTCTGGTCACTCAGAAATATGATGTTATCTGTCAAGAAGCCAGAGAGGAAGCGTTATTTCCAGTCTTTCTGTCCGGGAACCACGCACCCCGCCCTCCCCCCGCCATCATGAGCACAGAGACGTCACACAAGCTCTCAGGGTGCTGAGTCCAAGGCCCTAAAACCCCAGCTGTGTCGCCCACAGTCGCCGGCACAGGGAACAGGGCAGGAGCTGCTCAGGCCGAAATCTGCCCTTTATCCTGTGAGGCAGGCTGGTCTTTGCCATCCCCCTATGGTCAACAACTTCTGCAGAACACCTGGCCAACGGACTGGACACTGCCAACACTTGACCACGCCACACATCGTGTGTCCTCCGGAGGGACGGGGAAGGGCAGGGCAGGAAGTATCTTTATCGATATATTTCGGTGTGAAAACCCATGGAAATTCTTCTCCAACTTTAAGAATTCTTTTTATAGATTCATTTTTGGAAAAATTTTATCAATCAGTATCAGAGAACATACATTTTCTCCAAGAACCTGAAAACCAACAAACAGAAACCCCAACACTTTCTCATCCCGAGCCTCCATCAGAATTCCAGGCTTCAGGTCCTAAAAGGAGCAGATCCCTCAGCGGTCTCCCATCAGGCGGCCCGCGGACTTGAACCTATGGCTTTTAATTCAGTTAGCAGCCCGACACGTCACCCATTACACCACCAGGCCTCCTCAGAACATCTAATGTTACTCCCTTAAAATGCTGTTCCAGAGGGGCTTCACGTAAGATGAACAAAGGAAACAGGGATACACAGTATTTCCTGTACGTATATCCAAAATATTTAGATTATCATAAGTTAAAAACTGTCTAAGTTGATGACTAGCATGTCTGGTCAGTATCTGTTCACGTATTACCACCGCGGCATGTTTCCTGACCACTGAGGAGCGGAGCCACGCGGGCATCGCTCTCATGGCATGTCCACGACTATGGAGAGCATGCCCTCCTGGAGGTCACTTCAGGGAAATGAGACAGGCTCTGCCCAAGCCAAGAGTGCCACCCACTGGAGGCCCAGGCACATGGCAACCCCGTCAAAGTCGGTCCACCTTCCTAAGCCAGAGCTTTGCTTAGAAAGCCAACCCACCTGAAGTGAGAACCTTAGATCTTAGAGAGCTATGAAAACATTTCAAACTTTCTACTTGTGTGTGCACTTCTTACAAACGCAAGGGTGACTAAGAAGACTCAACTAGAAAACATACTGAGAGTTCTGAGGGGAAATGAAACAGAGAAGCCAGTTCAAAGAAGGATTCGTGTAACATTCAGAGGGTTAAAGAGATACTTTGTGTATTGTATTTCTACAGGGTAATAAAGGACCCCCAACAGCTTAGGGATTCAGATTCTATTAATTTAGGAGTGGCAGAAGACTTCTGCAGGAAATCAAATCCTGCGATATTCAAGGGGGATGTGGACTCCAAGCAACCTGAATCAACTATTTTCGAAAAGGTCTGAAGATTGCTCAAAGGAGCACCGTGCTGAACACCTTCGGCTAGTGGTGCCTCTGCTATGTCCAGGTGACACAGCACCTGGGGAGTGGATCAGGGTGTCATAGAACAAGTCAGTGCCAATCTTGTGCCAGCCCCACCCTCCCAGCCACATCCAAGCCAACACTGCAGCCACAACTGCCAAAACCAGCAGTACAGCAAGTAGCAAAGAGGTTCCGGACGGATCTGCACCAAGTTCAATCATGTTCCCGCTTCACGGACAGCTGACCCGTGGCGTGACCTTCCATGCTCTGCTCCCAGAATTCACACTGCACGCCCGGCTGTCGGGAAAAGGATGAAGAGCTGCGGGCACGAGCTCCTTACCTGCTATGATGGTCGTGGCCTGTCTCCGCACATTGTTCTTGTCTGTGTATTCGCCGTAGTCAACTTTTCCTTCAACATATATTCGAGACCTGAGCAAATAAAATACACCATGTCAGTCTGCAGGCTTCCATCTGCTTCACAGGAGACAAGTCATGCCAGGAAGGTGACACACGAACACACACACAGGAGGATACAATCACCCAGCGCACCTCCACCCCCTCCTCCAAGCTCAGATCACAGGACAGCACACCACCCA